TTTTGCTGTCTTTCTCTGCCAAAGAATATCCCACAACTCTGAATAGTTCTGTTTCAAATCAGAACAAAAGAGCAACCCTTCTACAGGAGTGAGCATGTCTTCCTGCTCCGTTTCCTGGTGGGCCTCCAGAACGTTAAGGAGCAGGCAGGGTAGGTAATTTTTCACAATAGCAAGCATATGTGTGATTGCAAACCATTGACTCTCAATTTCTGAAACAGAAATAGAAATAGGCTTCTCTAGAAGCATGTAGACAAGCTCTGCATTTTAGTTCTCAAATGTAAAATCACAGGTTTCTTTTTGCTAAATTTACTGGATGGGAATCTTAGTTTAGCAAAAGGAGAAATCCCCAAATGACTCTAAACAGAGAACTGAAGAATGAGTAACATTTCCTTTTTTACTTCTTTTTTTAGCATTAAAATTAGTTTTTTTTATGCAAGAGGGTTAGGGAAGAGATGGTGGTGGAAAGACAATCAAAGATTAGAGAGAGGGCAAAAGATTCGTCTAAACAAGATTGAAAGTATAGGTTTAAATGGATATTCCCACAATCCTGACTCTGTTTGCAGAATTCCAAGTGCACAGAAAAAAACCTTTCTCAGCTGTCTCTCATGGCTTTCACTTTGATTTTAGGTCTAAGACACGAACATTCATTTTAAACAAAATGGAAAACCTCAGAAAACTTTAATATTTCACTCAAAGCATCCAATACGCAGCTTTATTTACTATGATATATTCCGCAAATCATTAAGCTTCTCTCCTTGCTTCCTTGTTCTCTCAGCCATCCTTAGCAGAGGTGATTTAGCAGCATTTTCCGTATATCATCTGCCTGTGCAACTTGAGAAACAACAGTGTGTTTTGCAAGGCCTGCTGTCTAAAGACAGCAGCTTCTGCCTCCACATGAAATCTGTTTTCTCTGCTACTTATCAGTACTGGAATCTTGCTGCAAGAACATTTTTCCCCACTTGTATTTATTTAAGTTTTTGTGATGCAGAGGGTTTACTGACTGCCACCGAGGGTAAAGAGCATTACAACGCAGAGAAGAAAACTCACTAAAAAGTAAAGCTGTGACACTCCATTCAAGGTTGCATCTCTGAGCTTTGCCAAGAAACTAGATACTTGTGCAGCTATATGTATATATATATGTATATACGAAGCAACTAGAAGCAATGTAAGAAAACTAAGTGAGCAGAACAATTTGTCTTTAAAACACATAAGCACTATGAAAAAAAAAGTTCGTGAGTTTGGTAGCTCTATGGAGACAAATACTCCTGTTGAGAACAGCCAGGGAAGTTACTTGCCAAGAAGCACCGAGAGTGGCTTATGAGCTGAAGGTTTGTTTTGTAACAATGTGGCATGGGTAGAGCGTTTATACCCTGATTTTAATGGACATTGTATTAAACTGAAAAGGCTAATTACAAACTCAAGATTTTTTGTATCATTATGAACAACGTAACATCAAGAGTACAGAACAATTAGAGGCTCCGGCTGGGCTAATAAAACCTTATGGCAACAACAGACAACAAGTAATTACTATTCTAGTGGTTATCAAAAAATATTTTTCACCCTCTGTTTTTTTCATTGTGCAACAAAACCTAAAGGTTTGCCTATGAGCATTGTATGGCTTGAAATGACTCAGTTCATTCAATTCAAGGTATGATTGCGTGCTGCCTTTTGAACTTTGTCAGTTTTAAATGCTTTCTGCAGCCAAATGACAGCAGAGATGACATTGCTTTTAAGACAAATTAATGCTGAAGTTGCAGTAATTCCAAAGGACCGGACTTCACAGGCAGCTGTGCAAAACTCAGTGTTTAGCATGACTTGCCAAGCTAAGTGGAAAGACTATTTCTCTAACTCCTTGCTTACGGAGAACATTCTCTTTATTAAGCAGCGCAGAACAGACTCCTGTGAGCCAACTGGTGTAATGGACCCTGGGCAATCTAAGCAAGGTTTCTGAAAAGGACATCTCAAATGAAGTTAAGAAGAATTGCACAAAGAGCACACAGGGTGATTGACAAGATGGTCCAATGTGTGTAGGTGGCTATGGGAAAGGGGAAAGTGCAGAAGATAGGTGCATGAAATTGCTTAGTTCTGACTTGCTTTAAAGTTCTGAACTTTTTAACCTCATATAACAGAAGATACAACATCTGTTAAAATAATGATTGTGTTGTGACTTAGTGATCATCTTATGTATAAGGATAAATTTTTCTCTCTTGGTTTAAGCCAAAACTCAAGAACTGATTGACATTACGTATCAAGGAAATTCAGGGTTAGGTATGAAACAAACACAGTACCAGGTTGTACACTGCACACCTCAGGGCAATTACTGGATGCCATGTGCTCTTCTGTTCTGTGCAACTTGGCTCATCGTGTAGCAGTTCTAATTACAACTCATTGAGGCATGAAGATGTGGTATAAAATTAAAAAATCCAGACATCAGTGAGGACCAGGAACTTGCCCCTTGTTTTACAAGATCCTGAGCTTGTGAATATTCAGCAGCCAGGAATGGGGACCAGTGCTTCACACCCCTGACACAGGGACGTAACAGGCTAACAGGTTCTCCTCCAAGTACTCAACAGCAGACTTTCATTAAGCATTTCCTTCCTTCATTTTCTGCAGCGTTTGTCTCCCAGCAATAGTCCATAGTACCAGTGCTTTTCACCTGCAACACTTTTCCCTCAGCCAGGTCCCTACAATCAACCATTGCTTCCCTCACTGGTCCGTTGACCCCATGCCCATCATACCAGTAACCTCACATTTATTTCGCTCACTGCTTCAGCTCTCCACCAGCTTTTCCTCATACCAGCCCACTTAGTGAAGGCTCTCCTGCTTCCTCATGGTGTGATCTTCTCAGGCCCTCTTGCATTACCAAGAGTTGTAAGATGGGGCCTCCTACCATGCCCTGCATGTGTTAGGACAACAGCCCGTCATTCACGCTGCACCTGCATCCTCTGAAGACCAGTCAGTGCTGGGAGCCCAGGCGGTATCTGCACGGCTGCTGAGACCCCGTGTTTAGATTTAGAATAGGCAGCATTTCCAGACAATGAGATAGCTGTGTGGCAAGACACTCTGTTGTCCCTGCTCCTCTGAATTACTTCTTCATATCCATAACTAAGATAATTGACATATTGCTAAACACTTATTTAGTGAGGGATGCAGCACACTTGGATGTTGCTGCTGCAGAGTTCTGATGCACAGCTTTCTATCTGAAATAAACATAATTAGAGGATTGCTAAACACCTCCACCTTCCCTGGCTTACAGTTCGATTTTTGTTGAATGGCTCAAATTACTACAAAATACACACAGGAACAGATACCCCAACCATAAACTTGACCGGTCCTGAGAGATTTTAAAGATTCCTATTGTTTGCTAGTGACACAGAAGAGAGATGCTCTCTCTGATGCAGTCTTCTCTTTGAACAGTGTCTTAAACAGCAGCGAAGTGGCAGAAGGCTTTGCATCTTTAAAGGCCCTGTATCTGATGGTTGCTGAGCCTGCCGTGCACAGTGACTTACTAAAAAAGACACCCTAGAGAAAAGGTCTGTAGAAGCAGTATTTATTCCAGTTGTGAAATTCTGCAACAGAATGGAAAAGGGATTTGAGAAATTAAAGAACTGGATGAGGTGTGACATGGATAATTATCAAGGCAGATGTCTAAGAGGAATGCACCTTCTCCCCTAGCATCCAGTGCAGCAGAACAATCCACTAGCAGCTGCAGATGTGTTCTGTATTTGACTTCTGTTTTTTGAGCCCATAGGGCATGCAATCCCATTTGAAAGTTTTCTCTCTAACCAGGAGAATTAGAAATATTTTTATTTGTCTTTTAATGCAGGCCCTGATTCTGTTGCACTGTTTAGTTTTCAGCAGGTGAGGAGTGAAATTAAACCAAATACTTGGACTGTTATTGTATATTGGCAGCTCACATCTGTGAATGCCCAATGGATGGATTTTGAAACCATGATGTATTGCTCTTACAAACAG